CTACTACTACTACTGCTGCTACTGCTACTACTACTGATGCTGCTGCTGCTGCTACTACTACTACTGCTGCTGCTGCTACTACTACTACTACTGCTGCTGCTGCTACTACTACTACTGCTGCTGCTGCTACTGCTACTACTACTGCTACTGCTGCTGCTACTACTACTACTACTACTACTACTACTGCTGCTGCTGCTGCTGCTGTTACTCACTCCTCTTCTATTCCCCCTCTCTCATGGACGTCACGCGGCAGGGAATATATAATTTAATTTAATATAATATAATATCTATAATTAATAGATCTGTATAATGTCTATTATTAACGTATAACTATTATGCTCGTAATCAGAGGTGAATAATAATAGATCTAGCTGCAACCTGATCTGCTTGCATCTATGACAAATACGACATACGCATATACGCTCTCCTATGACACTCTTTGTCACAGGAAGATTCTTCCTATGACAAATATTGGCGAGCCAACTTCGTTCCGCTTTACAGCTGAAATTCACTATTTGCATTCATAATAGCGCTCCTAAACTCCTATGATGCGCACAACACATACAACAATATTTGTCATAGGAAAAATCTTCCTATGACAAATAGTGTCATAGGAGAGCACATGTGCGTATGTCGTATTTGTCATAGATGCTAGCAGAACAGGCTGCTATATAATACTATGTCTATTATTAAACACTCCTGATGTAATGTATATATAGTCAAATGTATATGAATATAATTTAGGTATTTAATATACTATATATCTATACCTCGATTTTCTTATAAACACGCACACACATACGCGCGCGCACGCATGTACGCACACACAAACACACATACACAAACGCGCGCACGCACGCACGCACGCACGCACGCACGCACGCACACACACACACACATACACACACACGCACACACGCACACGCACACGCACACACACACACACACACACACACACACACACACACACACGCACGCACGCACACACCTACCTGCCAGTAGATGCGCAGGTAGCAGAGCACGATGACGATCATGGGCACGCCGATGCCGACAGCAAAGATGGCGCTCTTCGGCGAGTTCCCGTTCTCATCCTCGAGTATCGTACACGACGACGTCTGCGGCTTCTCTCCGTAGCGCCCCCATACGCCGAACAGCGGCGGCACGAGGAAGACGACGGGTACAAGCCAGCTGGCTACGATCATGAAAGCGATGTACGGCTGCCGGTAGATACGCTGATAGGTCTTCGTGTGGCAGATCAACACGTACCTGCGCACATACATGTAATCAGGCGGTTAATAATGTCTATTAATAATAATATAATTAAACTTTTTGGGAGTTAATTGCTACAATAATATATAATATTGCATATAATTATATATATATATATATATATATATATATATATATATATATATATATATATATATATATATATATACATATGTAAGTTTGTATTGATCGCGGTTTCTCACAATATAACTCATTATATAACTCAAACATTGCTTATTATAATCATCATCATTATTATTATTATTATTGTTAGTTAAGCATTATGAAATTATAAATATTATAATAATATGTCGTTTTAATATGAAAACATGTTTCAGAATGATTCCATAATGTGGTATGTAGTGCAGTAACATTTCCACACAGCCAGATGCGGCTATTAAACCAATCGGTTCATAATTTATTAATCGTTAAGTATACTAATTACATGTTTTAATTACACGAAAGTTAACAATTCCGTCTTCAATCGCCGGCGATTTCTATGGAACATGGTAAATTTAGCTAATCTTGCAATATGTGCGAGCAAAAAAGTGTCATAAAATCGTGTCATTGGAAAAGCGGATATGTACATCAAACTCTGCCAATACTGGTAGGTCGACCCAGCACACATACATAAATAATTATACACATAACACATCATATGCCTACATAACGCAGTCATGCTCTATTGATTGGTCATAACCCCTTCACTTCTCTCTCGCTGTTCCTTCTCTGTCACTCTCTCTTTATCTCTTCCTTTTCTTTCTCACTCTCTCCCCCCCTCTCTCTCCCGTCCATCTCTCTCTCTCCCTCCCTTCCTTCTTTTCTCTCTTTTTCTCTCTCTCTTTATATCTCTCTCTTTCTTTCTCTATTTTTCTTTCTCCCTCTTTCTCTCGCTGTTTCTCTCTTCCCCTCTCTCTCTCTCTTACACACACTTCTTCCAGGTATTTCTCTCTCGGTGCCTCGTTCTCTCTCGTGTTTTTTGTCCCCCTCTGTCTCTACCCGTCCCTTCCTCCCTCCACTTCTCTCTCGCACGCTCTCCTTTCTTCCTATCTCGCGCTCGCACTCTCAACGTAGAAAAATATTACTCTAAACACATTACAATTTACTATATATTATACTACTAATACTAGTGTTGGTTGGTAATAGGTATTCCAATAATACTGCTATTCCTAAGACGTGGAGGCATGAGTTCCAACTGCGATTGAATTTATTTTCTTTGCATCGTCGTATTCTTTTCTCATTTGAATTTAAATAAAGTTTTAGTCTACAGGCATCTAGACCTGTGGCGATCAACAATGATTGGTGCATCGCTGCACGTGACCGACAACGCGCACGTTGATTGGCTGTGATCGCGCTCGGTCTGTCACACACACTGAACTATAACAATGTTATTATAATATTAATATAACAATGTTATTACATATTAATATAACAATGTTATTATATATTAATATAACAATAGGCGTGTTCACACACAAGAAAAACCGCGATGCTAATCGCGATGAAATACCGAGATAATTGTGTCGTTGTTCACACAGGCGGAAATATCTCGCTAATCGCCGAGCGGGATAATTCTATTAATCGAACTGCGCATGCTCACTGCCGGAATGATGCTCACTGCGGGAATGATGCTCACTGCT